GCCGCCCCGGCCCCCCCCGCGCGGCGGCCAGCAGCCGTGGGGCCCCAGCCTGGAGCCACAGCTGCCATCAAACCCCCAACGTCACCTCCGGGTGGCCGGAGGCGGCAGGGTCACACACCCCTCGCCCATGGCCCCGTGTTGGGGAAATGCACCCTCGAGCTTTTACACCACCGTACCTGGGAGGGCCGTGCTCCCCGCTCCGCGCCGGCGGGCTGCGTGCCGGGGTGGCTGCACCCCACAGCAGCCTTTAATCCCGTGAAAGCGGCGCAGCAATCGCGCAGGTAAAGGTGGCCGCTGTCTGATTGCCCGCCGCAGCCACCCCCGCTGCAGCCCCTGGGAGCTCAGAGAAGGCGCTCTCAGTGCAAGATTAATATAGATATATATTTCATCTGGGTTCTATTATCTTTCACTTTATTCAGGTCAAAAAGCAGGAGACAACATCTTTTAAGATGAAAACATAATCTTTTGGAAAATTGAAAATATAGATCATTGTTTGGGCAGAAGTACGTGTGTGTGCTAACCGCCGTGCCGCCCGCCCGGTGCGCTGCGGCTCCCGAGACCCTCGGCCCACGTGTGAGCTCGGCTGCACGTGGGTCCCCGGAACAAAGGAGCATCCCGTGCCAGCGGAGAGGGGCTGGTGTCAGAAAAGCTCCCAAAAAGTTTCGTGTGTGTGCACAGCTGGCACCGGGCAGCCCCGGCAGAGACCACGGGGAGCCCTGCTGCCCTTCCCAGCACCCACCTCGGGGTGCACCCACAAGAAAACCCCCACCACGATGGGGCCAGGTCCCCCATAAGTATCCTTCCTCGGAGCAGAGCTCCAAAGCCAGTCGGCTCTTTAAATCAGCTCTCCAGGGAGCAGAACTTGCCTCATTCTTTCTTAAATTAAATGCCTTTATTTTTTCATAGCTTTGTGTAATACATAGCCCTGTATGTTTAATCCATAATTAACGCCCCCTCCATGCTCCAAGCTACTCGACTGCAGAGCGCCCGTTACCTCCTCCGAACAGATTGCATTTCATAGCGCAAATTTAAATGAGTTATTAAAGAACATAGGTGCATCTATTAATTATTTCATAAATATTAACGAGCCCTTAATAGCTGGAATCCTGGAATAACACGTTCCCAGGGAGTTAATTTTTAAAAAGGTTGTTAACTAGACTGACCAGCGGGCTGGTGGGAGCCGGCAGGCCTGCGCGCTGCGGCGGGGGGCTGATGGCAATTAGGAGCAAGGCCAGCGCTTGCCGGGGAGCACGTGTGGAGCCTGGCCAGGGCTCGCTGCCGCGCTCTGATCCCTCGG